GCTTCCCCAGCTCCCTGCTGCTGGATTCCTGCCACCTCTCCAGCACACACAGCCCAGCCCTTCTCAGGCACAATCACTAGATAAGATGACACAGCAAAAATATTTCAGTTGTAGGCAAGGTGTTAAGTCCTTACAAAAGGGCCTGGAAAGTCGTGAGGTTGCCTGAAGGGGCTCTGAACTGAGCTGTGACGTGACCAACAGGCTGACAGAGGGACTGCTCCTACTGCACCACAGCCCACACACCAGCCCAGCTCCAAGCAGGTACCTGATGACAACACCAAAACCACTGTTAGTCACTGAGTATCTGCCAGGGACCACTATAATGCTGGTTATGTGGCAACTGGTGAACTGAGTAACAGGGATGCAGCAGATCAGGTTCTCTGGATTTTCAGAGGCTGGAAGGCTGTACCCCACCATACTATGGCTATCTGATAAATCATGTTTTACTGTCTGCATATAGCAGTCCAGCATCCTGACTGAGGCTGTCCAGAATCTAGTGATCAGCCCCAGGGTGAGCAGGTCATAGAAGTGATACAAAAGAAAAACCAAAACCAACAAACCCTTGACATTCAGTTGGACAAAGAGACAGAGTGAAAAAGTCAAAAGAAAATATTTATTGCTTAAAACTGTCTCTGGTCCTGGGAATGACAAGCAGGAGCTTCCCAGCACCTCAGTCTGCCAGCTCATCTCTCACCAGCACCGGGAAGCGGGTCCCGCCCCCGCAGAGCAGCGTGTGCAGTGCCCGGTACAGCTGCACTGCAGGGGTCCCCAGGGACAGCCTGGGCTCCAGGACAGGCAGGAGCTCTGCCATCATCACCTGGCAGGAGCAAAGAAGACATGTCACCAGAGCCAGCATGCACTTCTCGGATTCCATGAAGTGAAGCGGCTGCATAACAAGTGAAACCCAAGCCGAGTGGGGTGACTAACAGCAGTGCCTGACTGATAGATCCTTCCCTTCCTCATATTTAACAAAGGCAGAGCTATTCACCCTCTGCTCCTGAAGTGCACAAGCAGCCACCCAGTGGTCCCAGAGACACTTGGTGGTGGTTTCCTCCGCTGCAAAGGTGGCCCAGAGCTGGGATGAGATGAGCACTGTGCCAGAAGCTGGAGCTGATGCTGGTTCAGGAGCTCTGCAACCACATTTACCCAGTGCCAAGTTCAGCCCTTCATTCCTGGCTGTTCCTGTCACCTTCCAGTTGGGCCACATTAACACAAGACAGATGGGCAAGCGGCCAGCTCCAAGCCAAAGAGGACAAAGCTGCAGGTGTCCCAGCAGCACAGGCTGCAGGGGATCCCAAAGCTGCCCAGCATCCCCTAACCCAGCCTAGCTCGTGACCTCAGCCCGTGCGCCCAAACCACCCACTGGCCTGTCACAGCAGCAGCACAAAGCTCTGGGATTGGGATGGTGACTTAAACACAGGTGAGCTTCCATTCAAAAGGACAGAAGCTGGCCTTTAGTGCCCCACTCTTGAACTAATACTCAGAAGGACATTTTGTCTGGGATTTATTATTTGTTTTCAGCTGGCATCAGCTGGGGAAGCCTGAGCAGTCTGCACAATAAAAGCCCACACAGCCTATTGGACACACTGCCCTCCCAGGAGAAGAGGGGACAATGAACTGCATGTGCCAGTCACCTCCCTCAAAGCATTTCTCAGTGGTGGAAACAAAGGAAGATCCAAACAGAACAGAGTACAGTGCACCTACAGGAGAGTCCCTTTCCTGTTCTCCATAAACCTCTGCACAGGGACAGGGAAATGGTTGCTGATCTCTGGGAAGAGCTAAGAGCTGCAGATATGAAAGCTCCCTAAGGGGAGAGCTGGCACACGAAGGAGTGCTCTATTGCTCCACTTCCTAAGACAGAGCCCCTTCTCTTTTCCATCTGCCTGGTTTGTTCCTGATGTACAAGAAAAGAGTAAACAGGCCTTTGCCATCAAACACAGGCTAAGAGCCACCAGGACCTTCTCTGAGTCTTGGCATTCCTCCATGGAAGTGCAATGGACAGGCCTGGCCCAGAGATATGTACATCCTGTTCTGGGGGACAGGTCTATCTATACATGTCACCTGTCCCAAGAATTCCACCTCTCTGGCACACTCTGCACAGAGCTGCTTCAAATGCTCAGAGCTCACCCAGGACAAAGTACCTACACAGACACATATGCAGAGGAAACTGAGTCAGACAATGAACCATGAGGCAGCAGATTGGTCACTATTTCGTTTTGGGCAGGTAAAAATCAAGAAACTCACAGCCCATAATCCAGGACTATAGCACTGAAGACCCACATGAAGACAGGCAGTGATCTATCTTCAGGGAGGAGTGCAGCCAGTTACAAGTAACTCTTCCCTGGCTTCCAAAAAATGGTTTTTCCAAAGCCTCTATCATTCTGATCAAGGTTAGGTCCAAGGAGTATATGTGATTTCACAGCTCATTTCTGCCCCTGGCTGCTGTTGGTTGAGAAGAATAAATGATGTCTGTGCAGCAAGTACTCTGCTCAGGCTGGTGGAGGGACTGACCTACCACATTCTTCCAGGCAGCCTCAGAACAGTGAAATCAAGATTAGCAGCAAAGTGGTTTGAGATTTAAAAGGAAAGGAACAGACAGCAGAGGAGTTCACTAGCTGGAGGTCATGCAGGAGAGAATGACAGAGTGAGAGCCCTTATGGGCCTGTAAAGGGCTGCCAAAAGGAGTCTCCGGGCACTACCAACCTCCTACACTGCAAAACTATGGAAGTGTGGCTAAAATAATAATCTTATCAGGAGAGGATCTGACATTTGAAGGTCTCTGCTGTGGCTGCAACAAGAAAACCAGTCCAGTCATCTACAAAGTGAGCAAGGAAGGGGCTTGGACACAGGGTATAAACACAGAAACACCATTGGGAGAGCTTGCTGTGCTGCTGCTCCCCCATCAAGACCCTGTACACCAGTTGTTGCCCCACAAATGCCCTTTTCTTGCCTTACTCCAGGAGCACTAACACTTTTAAAGACTCACCTTTTGTAAGGCAACTTCTTGGTGCAGCATTGACACTTGCAGCTTCAAGGCAAACAGGTCTCTCAGCTCCTGGCAACTGGAATAATAAAGGAGAGGCACAGCCAGCAGGTCTGCACTGTCACACGTCTGTCCCCTGGGAGAAACACAGGCTGGAGAGCAGCTTCCTGCATCCCCAGCAGAGTCTGGGCAGAGCTGGATCTGGGACTCCACAGCTGCCAGGGTGGAAGAATGGACAGGAGGCAGAAATATACAAATTAAGTCTGTACTTACATAATTTGTGATCTACTTATTTTTCCTAGAAATGAATGATGAATGACATCATATTAGTCAGTCTGCTCCTTGCACACAGCACCATCAGGACACCACACACAGCACCATGAGGACACCACACGCAGCACCACCAGGACTTCTTAAGCTGTGCCATAAAGTCTCCCTCACCAGTCCTCCTGAATTGCAGGGGTTAAGTCCCAAGCCTCTCCCAAACACAGATGGGTGGTGAACAAACACCTCAGCTTTGTTTGCCACCAGAGAATTTTACATGCTACATCACCATTAAGGATAACCAGGAAAAGAATCAGGCTGACCCACAATGCTCTGCAGAGAGAGCAAACCACTGCCCCAACACAGCAGGACAACCCTTACCTGACTACAAGACCAGGACTCACCTGCTCGCAGAAGCTGCAGTTTATGCAGACACTGGGAAACTGTGGTTTGCAAACCCTCCAAGGTTAGAAGGCTTTCATACTCTCTTTGCAGAGTGGCCTGGTCTAGAGGAGAAGCAGAAGAAAACCACCAGATATGAGCACATTGAAACCTTCCCCCTTGAAGCCCAGTTTCTAGGGTGGCCTTCGGTTCACCAGCTCTCATTTTGGGCAGAGAAGGCTCCTGTCCCTCGTGTCCAGCACATGCCAAGAGCACAAGTCACATGGAACTGGAACCCACTGAAATCATCCTTGTTTCACTTTCTGCTCCCTCCACCCCCTCTCTTTTTTTCCTCCTTACCTGCACACTCAGCTTTCACATACTGACTGAGAAGGGAGGGGACATCCTGCAAGACTTTTAATTCCTCCTCTATCTCTGCAGGACTGAGGGCCGGTGCCAGTGAACAAAACTGAAACAGCAGCAGCTTAAGGAAGTTTTCACACCACCAGCTCTGTGCCCTGGGCCAGGTTGGCTGCAAACAGGGGTAGAGACAGAGGGCAAGCAGCCTGGGAAGTGGCATTGCAGAGGGAAGGCAAGGAGACCTCAGCTGTGCCTGGCATCTCTGCCTTGTTTGTCTGCATCAAAAGTTTCTGACTGCTCAAGAGCTGCACTGTGAGAAAAACACTTCCTAGAGACCCTGCTTGAACTCCTGTTATTGGAGGCATAACTCTCCCCAGATGACAGCATGCTGCAGATCAACTGCACCACATGCTGAGGGCAGGGGGCAGGAGCTGAGGAAGGATACAGTTCTCTGGATCCTCTCCATGAAACGGTTCCTTGCAGCTGCTGCATCTGCACTTGTTTGGCAGAGACGACATCTCTCCCACGCCCTGAAAATTCAAAAAGGGCAAGAGGTAGGAGTCACACTCCATCGTACCAGACAGTGCTGGCAGTGAACTGCAACACACCAACGTGACTATCAGCATTTCAGCTACATCCTCCTCACCCCTCTCTTTCACAGGTTATTTACAACCCTCCCCCCTCATTGCTGACAGCTGCTTTGAACAACAAGGACAGTCTGCAGAAAGCATTAGGCAGTGCAAAACACTTATGTCATTTCTCACAACTTGTTTTGAGAGGAAGGATTTGCAGCCATCAGAAGAAACTAACAGGTTTCCATAAGCAGAATGTGAACTGGCAGCACGTCACTGATTCTGTTGTATTGCCCTACTTATGTTTTTATCCCATAGGGAACAACAAATCTTCCTTCCTTTCCTGAGGGCTAAGTCATTTGCATTTCTCTACATTTACTCTGCTGGTAAATGCCTACAAGAAGAGGAGGCAGGACAAATTCTCAGCCCAGCTGTTACCACAGCCAGTCCTTCATATGCCAAACTTCCCCAAGACTCTCCAAGTTATTTCTTTTTTTCCACAAAGTAGCTTACTTGGTAAGAAGCAGGACAGCAATGCATCAATATCAGGGACATAAAGCACAGAGGTTTAAGGAGAGCACCAGGAGTAAGCTAGCCAGGACCTTGTCTCAAGAGTCCAGTTTTGAAAAGAAAGTGTGACACAAATAGTAACTCTACCCGAGGTGCATTTTACTTTAAGTTCAGCCTCATCTTCACCAATGCACAGTCACCATAACATCCTTTAAGACTGCTTTAAAGAGCCAGAGCACCCCCCAAAACCTGTCACAAAAAGTGAGAGCCATCAGGAGGAAGCTTAAAATATTTATGCATGACTGTCTAACTCAAGTGTGCATGTGTCTTCTCTCGATCCAAATGGATCTTCTAAATTAGGGTAGGAACTGCAGTTTTCAGGAACATGTTATGCAAAGAAATAGCAAGGTTAATGGAACAGAAAAGAACAGAAGGTGAGAGGCAAGATGCATTCCCACTGGAAGAGATCTTGAGAGCAAAGGTTATTTTCAATCTGTCACCGAGTTGAAAGTAATAATGGAGAGTGTGAAATTACACCAGTGATTAGGATGCCAAAAGGCTCAATTTACAGTGAAAATTAAGGGAATTGAGTCTTTACAACTCGCTGAAGAGCAACTAACAAATTGGTGCCTGATAAATGACAGTTCCAAAGAGGAGGAGGAATTACTGCAGGTGGCACAAGGAGCTACAGCTAGATTTAAGGCTGAGTTTACGCTTAATATCTGGACAAAACACATACTGAGAAATCTGCTGAATTATGGCAAGATTTCTCAAAGGAAATGGTGTGAAATCCTTCCAGAGGACTGGAGAATGGACTAAAGCACCAAGATCACCAAAAATCCAACCACCTGCACATCAGCGCAGTAACACTGTCATTGGCTCTGCTTATGAGAGTTGATGGTCAAGGATAGCCTCTAACAAACACACCCAGGTTGCTTCCAGGCTGGAGAGCTGCCCCAGCACAGCAGCTCAGGTGGGAAACTCCTTCATTGCCCAGCCCAGGCACTCACCCCACGGGGCTTCCTTCCACAAGTATGAGGCATAATCAGACACTTCTGCAGCACTGTTAAACCCACAATTACAGCATCTCAGAACCTTTACAACTCTGGGATTAACAGCACTCTGAAAACGAAAGTTAGCACTAGTGGCTGGGCTAGAGGAACATGAAAACAGGCATCCTCAGGAAGAGCCTTGCAGACACACTGTCTCAGACCACTCCTCCTGCTCCAAGGCCAAGGCCATGTCCCACACACTGGGGGTCAGTGCCTCCCTGTGACCCACAGACCAGCCAGATCTTCCCCATCTGACCCCTCCTCACAGCCCTTAAGCACAGGGTAGTTCTGGGCTGGGCTTACCTGCAGTTCCTGGCATAGGCTTTCCTGTAGGGCAGGGGCAGCTTCAGCTGGCATCTGCAAAACAAGAGAAGCATCAATCCTGACTGCCCATAGAACAGAGGAGGTCTTCAAACAGACCAAAACGCTATTTCCAATGTATTTTAAATTAATTTAGCTGCATTGGAAGATGTCAGCAACCCTAGAGACTGAATCCACCACTGCCTTCAGCCTGTCCTCAAGGAAGGAGGATCAATCGATTCATTTCCACAAGCTGACTTGGGAGAGCTCCTGTATCTGATCACCAGCCCTCAGAGGTTCATCCAAGGGGAGAAAGCCGGGAGCAAAGCCTGACAAGGCAGAGTGAAGACACAGAAACACATTCAGGGAAGCTGATCTATGCAGACATGAACACAAGCAAATCTCCCTGACTCTGCAGACACACCTGAGCACGACAAGGCAGCTGTGCTTAGCACCATATCATGGCCAAAAAAATGGGAAAGAGACTTTCAGCTTCCACTGGGAAGGTGCATCTTAACCCCAAAGAAGAATAATCCCTAACTTGGTACTGCAAAGACATGTAAGTTGGCAGTTATGGCTACAGCCCCGTGCAAACTATGAACACAAGACCGTAGCTGGGATTTTAAGTAAATAAACATTTGAATCCAGATTCTTGTTCCCCCAGCAACTGTCACTCAGTGTCCTGTGTCTCTTCCAACACCACTGGAACAATGATTATTTCCCCCCTGGGCTGAGGATCACTTCTCAACATCTTCCAGTTGCAGGCACATGTCTGACTTGAACTTCACTGTTTCTTTCAAGCAAAGATTACATAGAAAAGAATATAGATTTATTTATTTATTTATTTTTTAACAAAACAGACTGCTCTGAGTCTCAGCAACATCCACTTCATAACTCTTCCTACACCAAACGCTTGAGACAACTGCATTCCAGTCAATACCAATTTGGGTAGTTACACAGGCAGTGTCTTTAAGGTTAAAGGGGTTAGTATTAAATCAAGATACCATCTCTCCAAACAGCATTAGGCATATGAGAGAGAGAGAATTCATGCATTATGTAAAACAAAAAGAATCAATAAGCTATAACAGAAAGAGGTCCCTGAGGAAAACTAAGGCTCAGGAAAGCTCTACAGAGACACCTTTCCAAAACAGTCACAGGGGGCTATGCCATATCAAAAGTCTTAATTAAGGACTTTCAAAGTCCCAGACATCCAACCCTCAACCACAATAAAGGCTTTTAAAGAATCTGAGAAGCAGTGAAATTCAGCTGGGCCCTATAGAGCAGCTGAAGAGACCAGGCTTGGCAGATGTGCTGGTCTGAACAAGCAGAACAAGACAGAGGTGCCCACCACTCAGCACTTACCCCTTTTCCTGCAGGGTGACTGCCCGTGGTGAGGTGCTTCTTCCCAACACACTGTCAGTTGCAGGGTCCTTCTTTCTGTTGGACTCTCCCAGGGGACCACAACTTTTCTTCCCTGCATCAAACAGCTGCCTGTCAGCAGCTACAGAGATCTTTCCCTCAGCTGAATCCCCTGTGGAAGAGCTTTGCTGCTCATTCAGGCCAGATGTCTTTTTGGGTTCAGTTGCAGCACAGGTCTCTCTGTTGCTGGCACTGGTTGATGTCCTATGACTCCTTCCTTGTTTGCAAGCCAGCCCTTTTGAGGAGCTCTTCCCAGCTGTCCTGGGACCTTGAGAAACACATCGGGCTGGGGCTTTCCTTTGTAGTTTTTTCACATCTGGGTCAGTCCTGTAAGGGGCTCTCAGCTGATATGGAGAGGGCTTTTTCAGAGAGGCAGGCTTTTTGTTCACAGCTCTCACCTTTGTGCTCTCAGGAACACCCTCAACAGATGCAGGCACTGGCTGCTCATCAGCATTCTTGGGAGCAGGTCCCTCACCTGCAGTTTTCTCTCCTGTAGCTCCCTGGGACTCTAATGGAGTTTTCAAGATGCTTTTCCTAACTTTCAGTGCCTTCTCTAAAGCCCTGTTCAGCAGCTCCAGCTCCTCCAGCTCCCTTGGTGAAGGCCTGTCCTCTGCAAGAGGAGAAGATGCATCAGAAGGTCCCAACGTGGGTCTTCCCCATTTGTCATTATACACGAACTCAGGCTTCCAGGTCCTACAGAAGGAAACCAATCCCACTGAAGAGTGCAGTGGGCATTTTGGCCACACGACCAGTGACTACACAGAGGATGCAGACAGGGGTTGCTCTGTAGCCCCAGGATGGATGGGGCTGTCACAGGAGGAGACAGTTCTCCCACGCCAACCTCCCCCTCACCCACAAGTGACAATCCCCACATCCCAGTCAGGCCCACAGACACTCCTGGTTCCTGTGGCACGAACACCGAGAGGGAAAGCAGGAGGAAAAGGGGACGGGGTGGTTCAAGAGCAGGGGGAGGTTTCCAAACACATAAATCAACCCCGCCCAGGCCCGGGCCCTGCAGGAGGGGGCAGCGCTCACCGTGTCCCTCGCCGGCCTCTGCCTGCGGCTG